AAATTTTTATTGTGAAATACACATTTTTTAGAATTAGTTTCAACTGTACAACACAGTGCAATAGTTATACTTTTTACCCCTCGAGGTGACAACTCCCCTCCCCCAATGACCTCTACTCTTTCTTGACCATGAATTTGCAAACTATTTGGCTGGGAGTATTGGTACAGCCTATGGTCATGGGTGTGAGCAAAGCATAAATATCCCAAATGTTCAGGGAATGAAGTGGTTAAATGGCTTGTCCACAAACATAATTCATGGCAGAACTGGAGTTTGAAATTAAGTCTTTTGGCTCTATAGTCCATGGTTCTGCCCACTATTATGATACTGAAATGTCTGCCTACTTGGGTTTGTGATCAAAGGAGTCCACTTAGGAGAGTCTATTATAAACTAGGTCCTTGTAATAAACAAATAATACCTAATACAATGGATGGCTTTCAAATACATCAAACAATAGCAGACCCTCACCCAACTTTATTCCACTGCTTGTCTAGCTGTATACACATTGGTGTGGGTCCCTGCAGCTCTGACATTGTTCATAACAAATACCAACTCCTTGTTGTGTAACCACTTCATGAGCTTGTGTTTGGCTGCTAACCTGAGTTAGGTTGAAGTGTTGGCAGCTCTAACTCCATATATCCAGGTTGTGTATAATGTCCGTGTGGCTGAAAAGAAGACTACTACTGTTCACCAGCTTATCCAGCCTCACTGGAAAAAGCTACTGTTCATGTGCAGGGGTGGGGGATGAACATAAAGGGGAACACTGCTGCCCTGGCCAACCAGACAAGAGCTTAAGATGTGCAGACCAGGATGACATCATCAATAGACTGTCACGGTTGCGTGCCTTGACTATGATTCTAAGGGGGAACAACTGGGAGTCGTTGTCTCTGTATCAAATGGTCAGAGTCTGAGAAGCAAGGACTTCCTTTGGTTCTTTTTAATTTTGTATATTTCATAGTAAGACCCAACTTTATAAGGCAATCTAATATAAGACAGAGTTCATCTTCCTAGCTCATCGAGTCATTCAGTTAACCGAGGACCTATTTTCTCTCCTGTTGCCTTTATCAGTAATTTCTTTAGAAGGGCTATTGAACTCTCCTACGAGGTGTGATCGAACAATAAAGTAAATGTTTAAATTTAAAAAACATATTACAGTAAAAGACACATTGCCATTAATCTCCCTCAAAATACTCCCCCTTTGCTTCGAACACACTTACCCCATTGTTCTTGCCACTTTCTGAAAGTTCTGGAAGTCCTCCTTCGTGAGTATCTTTGGTTGTGCCATCATGGCTGCCTCAATGTACTGAATTATTTTGACTTTGGGAAAGAGCCAGAAGTCGTGTGGTGACAGATCCGGTGAATAAGGTGGAGGACGACACACCATAATGTTTTTATTTGACAGAAATTGCTGTATACCAGAGGCGATGTGTGACACAGAGCGTTGTCATAATGGAGGATGATTTACAGCACACTTTAAAGCACACCTTCTCTCAACACCCAACTGACAGCACTAAACAAGTTGAAACTTGTCACACACAGTTACTAAGGTTCGATGCACCACTTTCTGTACTGAAGATCCCTGCCTTTCCATTGGATGGCACTTGGCAACATCATTAACCATATTTTGTGATCACAACGGGAAGGCTCCGTGTCATACATCGCTTCTGGTATGGCAGTTTCTGTCAAATAAAAACGTTACGGTGTGTCCTCATCCACCTTATTCACTGGGTCTGGCACTGTGCGACTTCTGGCTCTTCCCCAGAGTCAAAACGACCATGAAAGGTAAATGTTTTTAATCAACTCAGGACATCAAGCCAGCCATGACAGTGCAACTAAAGACACTCATGAAAGAGGACTTCCAGAACTGCTTCAGAAAGTGGCAAGAAAGATGGGATAAGTGTGTTTGAAGTGAGGTGGATTAATGACAATGTGTCTTTTACTGTAATCATTTTTTTAAATTTAAACATTCACTTTATTTTTTTATCACACCTCATATGATCCATGCTGAGTGTAAGCACAATGTCTGGCACATTGTAGATGTTCAGTAAATGGGCAATGAATTAGTTAATGCCTTGGAAGTGGCCAAATGGGAAAGGGAATAAGAGTGAGGCAATGAGGGTGGCTGGATAGCTCAGTTGGTAAGAGCATGAGCTCTGAACAACCGGGCTTCCAGTTCTATTCCCACATGGGCCAGTAAGCTGCACCAGTAAGTTGTGCCCTCTATAGCTAAGATTGTGAACAATGGCTTGACCTGGAGCTGGGCTGCCGTGAGCCGGCGGCCAGAGACCAACTGCCTCAGCTGGGACAACGGCTCGAGGGGGAGCAAAGAGTGAGGCAATGAGAATGAATGGTGTTTCTTCTGACATTTCAAACTTCATCTTCTTCTAGGTTGTTCCAGCCTGCTGTGGACCACTCCTCCAGTCAAGCATTTCCATTTCCTGTGTCTCCCCTTCCCCTTCTAAGGTTCCCCTCCAAGTTGACTGGCCAGAGAAGAGAGGAGGGAGGAACAAGGAAGTGTACAGGCAGTGAAACTGAGACAAATGGCCCTTTGGTGAATGCCAGCTTTAGTTACCTGCGACTGTAAAAGGTAGCTGGTTAACTCAAATGACTGTTTCAGTTGGTGTAATTAAGGTATATTAACAAAATGAAGTCAAGATTTTCCTACAGCTTGAAGGAGAAGTTTTAATCAATGAGTGTTTACTTGGAAGCAAGGAGCCATCCTAGGACCCCTTAAACGATTGCATCTGAACACCCACTTGTCTTATTTATCACACAGAAGGCCTTGGTTTCCTGCCAAACTGAAGGAAGAGGAAAAGCACTTCTTCATTGGACGTTTGAAAGCCAAAGAACTGGGGAATGCTCTCATCTTTTAAAAAAATGCAATACTTTTATTTTAGCCTAGCTCTAATCCCTTTCCTATTATTCAAACCCTTGCTATCCCTCTCCCTCTCCACTCTCTGGCAGAAAATATTATTTTTCCTGGTTTCCAAGCCTCTTTTTATTGTATTCTGATCAGCAAGAAGGAGTAAAATTCCTTTGCTTCCTGACCAGGGAACATGTGTCTTGTAAAAGTCCCCTTAAAGTACTTTCTGCTGAGGAAGGCCCTCATGACTGGACATGCACTGCTTCCAAAAAGAGGGATTGCTACAGATTGGCTTTCTGTTTTGCATTTTCAAAAGTCCACCCAAAGCTATTTTTTACTATATTGTAAAACTGCAGAGAAACACAATGAATAATCTAGCAAACACCCACCATCCAGAATTGACAGCATAATAGTATAAAAGATACTTCAAGTATCTTTTTTTAATACAAGAAACAAAATGTTACAGATCAAAGGTATAGTCATCTTAATTCTCTTTCCCAGTCCATCACCTCTTCCACCTTCCTGGAGGTCTGTTTTACACATTGTTATATGTGCCTACAAAGGTCCGACAATTAAGTTCGCGAACTCATCCTAGAAAAATTGCTACATACCTCATTGCTGAATATCACTATTGTCACCTTCGAAGTACTCCCCTTGGGAAGCTATGCACCCATGTGAGCCCCTAGTGCACCCTTCAAAGCAATTTTGGTACTCTTTTTCTGGAATGGCCATCAGAGCTGTTATCATATTACCCTTAATGTCCTGAATGGCATTAAAATTTCTTTCTTTCAACATTTCCTTTACCTTTGGGTAAAGAAAGAAGTCATTGGGGGTGAGTAGGGAGGGTGTTCCAATACAGTGATTTGTTTACGGGCTAAAAACTCCCTCACAGACAGAGCTATGTGAACTGGTGCATTGTTATGATGCAAGAGCCATGAATTGTTCATGAAAAGTTCAGGTTGTTTTCGTCTAATTTTTTCACGCAGCTTTTTCAGCACTTCCAAATAGTAAACTTGGTGAACTGTTTGTCCAGTTAGTACAAATTCATAATTAATAATCCCTCCAATATCAAAAAGAGTTAGCAACATCGTTGAAAACAAGTTCGCAAACTTATTAGACCTTTGTATATCTATTCATGAATCATATAAGGTATGGCTTTGTGGGTATGTTTATTAATTTAAACAGATTTTTGTCATAGATTATAGGTCACTCTGCAGCTTGCTTTTTTCACTGAATTTCTTGATTTGTCCATGTTATTATTACATAGTGCTGAGCTCATTCATTTTAACTATGTACACATTTTAACTATGTGTGACTGTACTACAATTTATCCATTCCTCTACCAATGTACATTTAGATGGTTCAACTTTTTTACACTCACAAACAATGCTGTATGTGTCTTCGTATGCCCATGTGCAAGAATTTCTCTAGGATATTCACCCAGAAATGGAATTGCTGGGGTGAAAATAAACATGCTTTCAATTTTGACAGATACTACATAGTGACCGTACCAATTTATATTTCTACCAGCAGTGGGTGAGAGTTCCTGTTTCCTCTTTTCCTCATTATTACTTGACATTATCAACCTTTTTAATCTTTACCAATCCGCTAGGTGGGAAGTGGTATCTTGTTATTGTTTATTTGTCGTTCCCCTGACAACTAGTGGGGTGGCTCATCTTTTGTAATTATTAAGCCAATATATTTTTAAAACTCAATTACCGGGGATGCTCAAAGTCATCATTTCAAGCAATTTCATTTCTTTTAACTTTCAACAGAAGCAAAGGAGCACGTTCCAGTTTGGTATTTACCAACTACTTCTGTGAATTTACACCCCACAGGCAAGCCAGGGTTGAAAGTTATGCAGATAAAAGGGGGAAATGTTTAAAGTAAACTGGGAAGGACTTCGGGTAGCTATAAATAAGAAGGTTGGGCATCTCTTACTTATAGCTAACTCAAATTATATGAATATGGTAGAATTGAATGTGTTATTCATTAATCCTAATGCATCAGTATAGTAATTTTCACTTTGTAAAGCATTTCCAAATGCTGAAAATTGTTGTGAGTAGCATAGAATACTCTAGCACAATCCATAGCTGATTCCCTTGGGCTTTTCCCCGTTACGTTTACTTCCAGATTTGTCATACTCTTCATGAATGACCTGGGCCATATTTCCCAGTGGAGCGCCATCATGGCTGGAAGTCTCACAGGCATGGTTTCCACCATTGTGATGTATCTTACAGACCTTATCAAAACCCGCTTGATTGTGCAGAACATGCTGGAACCGTCTTCCAGGGGGATTCGCCATGCTTTTTCTACTATTTATCAACATGAAAGATTCCTGGCCCTTTATCAAGGGGTTTCCCTTGCAGTTTTAGGTAAGATGAACTTTTCACCTTGTCCAAGAAAAGGCTGCATTCTTTGACACATGTATGAGTAAAGGTATTATATACCTTTATAACCAGTTAAATCCATTTTATTGAGGTCAAGGTTGTATGGATTCAGTCCATATAGAGCTAATTAGCTTCATTCTATTCCATAGCCATACACCCAACTCCTAACTTTGGCCTTTTACATCCCAGAGAGGGGAGGAGGACAGAGCATGGAGGTGACTGCACAAACTGATAGGAAGACAATCCCACACACTCCCCATTCGACTGTGTGAAGGAGTCCCAATGTGCACACATATACATATGAGCCCAACCAAGGTAGCAGCTGTAGCTTCTGTGATCTTTGAAGTCTGTGCCAGGGCTGCACACACAAAGGTCACCTGGGACCCTCAATGGCCAATCCAGTAGACTTTTCCAACATCTGACCTTTGTTGCAACATTTGATGATATTGATCACCCCTTCTTCTGGAAACTTGGCTTCTAGGAACCCACTTAGACATCTCCTGGATGTCTTCCCTACCTCTCTGGCAGCTCTTTCTTATCTGCCTCCTCTGGTTCATCTGACACTGCCAGCCCTCTACATATCGCAATTCCCCCAGCTCCTTCTCTAACTTTCTTTTCACCTTTCATACCTTCCCTAGGTGGCCTCATCTAAGCTAGTGGCTTAAACAAGCATCATTATACTCTAATGGTCCCCAATATCATCTCTATAATTACATTTATTGGTGCTTATTATGTGCCAGGCACTGTGCTAAATGCTTTGCATACAGTTTCTCATTGAAGCCTCATTTTACAGACAAGAAATAGATAATTAGGGAAGCTAAGTGCCTTGCCCACGGTCACATGGATAGAAAATGGCAGAACCTAGCACTATAACCCCAGAGCCCTGTCTCTTAACCACTGCTACCAATTCCAAGTGGCAGTACGAATACCTGCTATTGGACACCCTCACCTGATGCTCCCTTGGCGCATCAAACGCAAGACTAATCCTGATGTCCTCATTAGTCTCACACCTGCTCTCCTCCTGTATTCCCTAATGAATGAGACTGCCTTCCTTTCACCCAGTGGCCTGAGCCAGAAGAAACCTAAACTCACTTCAACGCCCCCTCTCACTCCACTCCCTCTTTCAAGTTGACCCTTTTGATCTCTCAAGTCTATGCCCCTTTTCTATCCCCATCTCCTTTGTCCTAGGTCATGCTCTCATCACCATCTTTTCCACAGACACTTATAAGAGGCTCCTCCCTGCTCCCAGCCTTGGGTGCACTGCTGCCAGGGTGTGGAAATCTCTCTAAATGCAAGTTGATTGTTTCACCACTCTCATTCCACTGCTCTCCTCAAAAGCCTTCACTGACGCCTGAGCTACAGGGAAAAGCACAAATTCTTTATGGCCTACCAGAGCCTTCAAAACAGGCCATTATACCTCCTTCTCTGTCACGCCTCCACCTGCACTCATGCTCCAGCCATACAGAAATACTACCATTTCCTGGAAATACTACTCCCTTTGTACATGCTGTTCCCTCTGCTGGACTGCATGTCTACTCTATGTCTGATGAACTCCTACTCGTTTTCAAGACCCAGTTGAGAAGTTCTCTCTTCTGTGAAGTCCTTCCTGATTCCCCCAGGCAAAATTAATCCCTCTGATCCTTGTGTACATAAAGCACTTTGTATAGTGCCCCCCACTTCCTTATGGCACCTATCAATTGTCTCACCACTAGATGGTGAGCTTCTCCAGAAATTAGTATATTCCTTTTTGTATTCTGGCACCTGGCCTAAGGCCCAGCATAAGCTCCACAGATGTTTGCTGAATGAAGGTAAATGGGGAGTTGGTACATCATTTTTAATTTGTTTATTAAATATAAATATTACATTATTCTAAGGAAGCAACCCCATTTTTGCTATGTCCTCTTTTAAATCTCTTTTTGAGGGAGGAATTTAGTCCCTCTATAAAACTAAGATGCTCCCAAGGCTTCTGGAATTCTGTGAAAGAGCCACCTACTGCACTCCTTGCTCACCATATTTTCCTAGACAGGTGAGGTTGCCATACAGTGCAGGGTGCCTACTGGACCCTGATATGGTCACATCATTTCCAAAGGCAAGGTCAAGTAACCTTCCTCACCACTACAGTCTCACTTTCCAGTTTTCACAGAAAGATTTTTTCTCAGCTAGAGACAAGCCTCTCCAAGCCTCCAAAAGTTGATTAAGTGCCACCCACTAACTTATTCTTTATGAGAGTGATTTTTTTCCAACATTTTATTTTTTTTAATTTCAAACACCCAGAGAAATTAAAATAATTGGAAATACTCATATACTTACCATCTAGAAGACACAATTAACATTTTGCAAACAAAAAAAAATGACATTTTGCTTTATCATGTATCTATCCATGTATCCATTCCTCTAGCCATTCCTCAGTCCATCATATATATTACATTTTATTGGGGAACAGCCATGGTCATTGGTTACACATTACTTTCATGCTACAATGGCATAATTGACTGTTTTAAGTAGGGCACAGCTCACAGTGGCCCATGCGGGGATCGAACCAGCAACTTTGGTGCTATCAGCACGACACTCCAACAAACTGAGCTAACTGGTCACTCCACCTTATAAATTTGTTTTATGATTTCCATGTAAATTACAAACATCAATACCCTTTACTCCTCAACCCTTTAAAATGTGTATCATGAACTAGATTAGAGTTCAACCTTTGTTTATGGTTCTTTTTAAGGTAAAATTAACATAAAATGAGCAAATTTCATGAACAATTTGATGCTTTTTTAAAAAAGATTTTATTGGGGAATTGGGGAGGGGAACAGTGTTGGGGAATTGGGGAAGAGAACATTGTGTTTTTCCAGGACCCATCAGCTCCAAGTCAAATTGTTGTCCTTCAATCTTAGTTGTGGAGGACGCAGCTCAGCTCCAAGTCCATTTGCCACCCTCAATCTAGTTGTGGGGGGTGGGCAGGGGAGGCGCAGCCCACCATCTCATGCGGGAGTTGAACTGGCAACCTTGTTGTTAAGAGCACGTGCTCTCATCAGTTCAGCAGCAGCTCAGCTTGGGCGCAGTTCACTGGCCCATGCAGGAATTGAACTGGCAACCCTATGGCTCAGAGCTTGCGCTCCAACCAGCTGAGCAACCCGGCCAGCCCCATTTGATGCATTTTGATAAATTACACAACCACTATCAAAATAGAGCACCCAAGAAAGTTCCTTCCTGCTGCTTTGGGTGGAGTGATTTTAACAAGCCCAGAGCTGCTCCTATTTACTTGCCCTGGATTCCCCATACGCATTTATGTTCTCAAACCAGTGTTTCCCAAGACCTCAGCAGCCTCTTCCTGGCCTTGTTTGGCTCTCTTCTAGTTTACATGAACCTGGAGAAAATCTGGAATGGACCCTGAGATCGCTTCTCTCTCCTCCAGAACTTTGCCAATGTCTGCCTGGCTGCTGCAGTGACCCAGACCTTCTCCTTTCCCTTCGACACAGTGAAGAGGAAGATGCAGGTGAGGAGTGATGTTGGAGGAGGGACATAGGTGGATGATGCCTTGAAGTGTTGGTGAATGGGTAACAACAGCAAAGAACACTGACCCTGAGCGATGCCAGGTTTCCAAGGAGCTCATGACTGCTCACACAAATATGCAAAGCCCCATGCCAGGGCACTTCTGCCACTAACCTCAAGGCTATTGGCTCCAGCCCAAGCTGCCGCTCCATTCCCATACTTTGCTTTTTTAGGGTTTTTACAATGCCTCTAGATGAGGCCCACTTTTCTTTCCTTTCTTCCTCATCGCTGCCACCTGCCAATGACATCAATGCAGCTTCCTAACTCCCTTTCCCTGCAGCCTACACAGCAAGGACAGGGCACTCTTGCTTTCATAGCCGCCCCTTACGTCAGTGAAACAGACTGGAAAGAACCAAAATAATCCAGGAGCTATCGATAACCAGACTCCAATAGTCCCTGACTCCCTTGCTAAGGAAGTAACTGCGTTTGAAATGGGTCAGTGTCTTAGTGGGATTGGCCCTGAATTTTCCTAATTGTTACCTGGGAAACTCACATTTTCTCTACAGACCACAGAGGCAAAAGCATGATATCCAAGATCCCAGAGTAACTGGTTTAGCCTAAAATCAGCCAATTTTGATCAAAGAAAAATCAGTGGTCCAAGTAAGGTTAGGGGTTACAGGCAGGTCTACACAGTGGAGGTGGGCTGAGAATCAAGAAGGCTGAGGCTTCGCATTTGCCCTTAACCCTGCTTGCTCTTTGTTAGGCTCCCTAAAACTAATCTACATGCTTGTCTGCCTCCCCAGCCTTTTCTGGGCAATCTTGATTTATACTGTGGCAGTGGGCCCTAGACAAAGGCCTTCCCAGACCATGTGGTCACTAAGGATTTCACGCGGGTTTCAGACAGACACATTCCTGGACTATAGGGTCATCAAAACTTCCGCGTTTAATATTTCCAAATTCCTACCTCACCTGGGAGCCAGTCAGGAACTGGCACAATGGCCACATGTCCTAATAATAAATCTTAGCTGTCAACCTGGAAACTTCAGGGTACATAGCCCCGAGTCGCACCCGGGTCGGGGCTCAGCCTCTGGATGTATGTAAATCCGCTGAGCCTGTGCCGGCATCAATAAATGCTGCTTCCTGAGCCTTGGTGTCCTGTCTCTCTGTCTGAGTTCCCCACAACAATACAATTGATATGTTTCTGAAGAGCTATTTGGATATTAATTTGGGGTCAGTTGGATCCAGTTTTAAATGATCAGTCCCAGCTTAATTTATTTTTCCACACGTCTCTAATTTGTCCCTCTGCTGTCTCAATGGCCCCATGGTTCCCCTCCGTGGCTTCCTTGGCTGGACTGGACCTCACTTACCTTAGCACTAAAAAGCTTGAAGGTACTTATCTCAATCTAAGCTGCCTTCAGAATAATACACATCATGATGACATTCAGTTCTGCTGCTCCAGTCTATCAAACTTTTCAGCTGTCTAGGTTGTGTTCCTTTCCTGTCCTTTCTCAAACCAAATAAACAATTGCCACATTATTGTAATTATAATATAGATGCAAGTTTAGAGCCTGCTTTAATGCATGCTTATTTAGAAACCATTATTTCTAATTTTAAAAGGGATGCACATACACTGAAAAATGGGGTCAAGAGGTTCCCAGGACCCCATCCTTGGGTTTGCTTAATTTGCTAGAGCAGCTCACAGAACTCAGGAAACCAGTTTACTCACTAGATTACCCTTTTATTACAAAGGATATATCAATTTTATTTTATTTTTTTAATTTTATTTATTTTTTATTTTTAAAATTTTTTTTAGCTGAGCCATCCTGCCACCTGTTGGCAGCTCAGTGAAAGCTCAGCTCAGGCCGTGAATCAAACCAGCGACGCTGTTGCTCAGAGCTTGCACTCTTGAGCGAGCTCTTAACCAACTGAGCCACTCGGCCGGCTACTCAATTTTATATTATCTATGTTTTACACAGAGATTATAGGAAAGTATGAAAAAGAAAACAATAATTACCAATAAGCCCAAAACCTATACACTATAATGACTAAAGTTTTTCTTCTATATGTTTGTATGTATGTACATGTGTTTATATGTGTGTGTGTGCATAGGTATAAATATACATAATACATGTATATGGAAGGGTTTTTATACAAAATTATGTTCCGGCTGTATATAAAAATTACTATCTTGCTTTTTCCACATATTATATAATGGATATTGCCTTAGGCCATCAAGTATGGAGAACATTTTTTTAAATTATCACATAATATTCTACCACATGGGGGCTGGCCGAGTGGCGCTTTGGTTAAGAGCTGGCTTGGGACGCCAGCTCTGAGCAGCAGGGCCTTGGTTCGGATCCCACATGAGGGCCATTGACGCTGCGCCCCCTACAGCTAAGATGGTGAACAACAGCTCAACCTGGAGCTGGGCTGCCATGAGTCACCGGCAACGGGCAACGGCGTAGGATGCAGCCCCTGCTGCAGTGGGCTGCCATAAGCTACTGTGTGTGACCGGCAGCCAGCGTGAGTGGCCGGCAGCTGGTGTGAGCTGCCAAGAGCTGCTGTGAGTGGCTGTCCGGTGGCCAGCGACCAATCTGCCTGATCCAGGAAGAGTACCATGATAATACCAACTTGGGCCAGTGAAGCGATGTCCTCCACAACTAGACTGAAGAACAAAAGGACAGCAAATTGTCTGTTCCCCTCCCCCAATTCCCCAATAAAATCTTAAAAAAAAAATTCTACCACATGGATATGCTGTAAATATCTTCTTTTATTTTCAGATTTTTTTTTTAATTGGGGAATTGAGGGAGGGGAACAGCACTGGGGGATTAGGGGAAGGGGAACAGACTAGTTGCTGTCCTTTTGTTCTTCAGTCTAGTTGTGGAGGACGTCGCTTCACTGGCCCACATTGGTATTATCATTGTGTTCTTCCCAGGTGAGGCAGATCCGTCGCCGGCCTCTGGACAGCAGCTCACAGCAGCTCTTGGCAGCTCACACCGGCTGCCAGCCACTCACGCTGGCTGCCAGCCACACACGGTAGCCCATGGCAACCCACTGCAGCAGGGGCTGCAGCCTACACCGTCCACCGGCGACTCACGGCAGCCCACCTCCTGGCCAAGCTGTTATTCACCATCTTAGCTGTAGAGGGCAGTGTCACTGGCCTTATGTGGGATCCGAACCGGGGCCCTGCCGCTCAGAGCTGGCGTCCCAAGCCAGCTTTTAACCAACGCGCCACTCGGCTGGCCTATAAATATCTTCTTTATAACAAGGATGTATTCTCAACGTTCTGGAGGCTAGTAGTTTAATATTAAGGTGTTGGCAAGGCATGCCCGTTTTGAAGGCTTTAGGGGAGGATCCTTCCAGTCTCTTCCAGCTTCTGATAGCTCTAACATTTCCTTGATTTGTGGCAGCATAACTCCAATTTCTGCCTCCATTGGGCCATAAATAACAATTCCTTGGTTTTTTAATATTTAGGCTGTTTCTGATTCTTCAGTATGATAAAATTGCAGTGAAAATCCTTGCATTTTTTCACATTTGTGGTAACACCTTTCAGCTGTATTCCTAGAAACTGACTTACAGTTCTCAATATAAAAATAATTCTAAGGTTCTTAATGAAGTTTGTGCCCTAGAAATGTTGTAAGTTTACACTTCCATGAGCAGTGAGTGTGAGTGGTTCATCTCAACTCTCATCAACAATAATTACTATCACTTTCTAAATCCTTGTGAACCTAATAGCTGACAAATGCTATTACATCATTTTAATTTGAATTTCATTATTATAAGCGAATTGCACATATACTACATATCAATTGGCCCTTTGTATTTTTTGTAAGTTTTCTGTTTGTATCCATTGCCTATTTTTCTAGGATATTCAGCTTTTTCTATGGATTGTTAAGAAGTCTTTATATGTTAAAGATATTAACCCTTTGTCATACATTGCACCTATTTTTCCCAGTTTGACATTTGGCTTCTGATGCTGTTTATGTGCTGTTGTTGTTGTACATATTTTTAGATTTTTATGGAATTATATCTATTACTTTTTTTTGTTGTTTCTAACTTTGATTTTCTTATGTAAAAGGCCTATCCCATCCCACAATCATATGACTATTCATTTATATAGTTCTTTAAATATTTTTTGTTATAATTTTTACACTTAATACTTTAACATATTTAGAATTTACCTGGGATATGATGTGAAGTAATTATCTGACTTTAAAAAAAATAGTTTACCAGTTGTTTAAGGATATGTCAACCTGAAAAAAAGGCCTTTCAAAGTGAGATGCAACAAGTGTTGGAGATCAAAGACTAACTATTCAGGACACACTGATTCATGCAGAAGCCCAAATAGCATTCTGATTGGGAGACAAAGACAGTAGGTATTTATGAGAAAGGGAAGGGGGGAACAATTACATCAGCAGAAGGAAGGCATTTCTATTGGTGCAAATAGCATACCATAATGATGTTAATTCTAAACAAAGTTTTAAATTTTCAGTCCGGTTGTCATCAGTCCTGTAGTCATACTATGTGCTTTCTTGTTATCTTTGCAAACAGTTCCTTGGGGCACAAGGTTGCTTTAGGTCCAATCCAAAGTTTATTTTGCCCTGTGTGAACATTCCAAGGCTTGGGGTATAAGACGTACAAGGCAGTTCCTCTGGCATGGCAGCTCCAGCTCCATTTTAAAGTGATTCTGTTTATGTTATTTTTCTTAACATACAATTTTTTGGAAAAAACTTTCTTTTCTCCACTACTTTGTGATGCAACTTTTACCACATCCTATATGTTTACACATTCTAGGGTCTATCTCAAGGCTGTATATCCTGTTCTGTTGATCTGTCAGTCTGTTCTTGTGCCAGTACCACACTATTGCAATTCCCCTACTCTCTGAAACTTTTTAATATGTTGCAGGGCATCTCCCTCTTCATTGTTCTTCTTTTCAACATTTCCTTGATTATTCTGTCATTTGTTTCTCCTGATGAACTTTAGAATTATCCTGTGATTATGATT